AAGCCGGCGGCGTCACAATTGCTCACCATGCACAGCACGCCGGATGACGTCATCAAGTACTACACATGGACTAGTGATCAGCCACGATTGTATCTCAAGCAATCGCCCACAACCACCACTTTGGCGTCATTGATCAAGTGGGCCAATCACCCGTCCCGTCTCAACGGCAACAAGTCCTTGGATTCCATGGCGATGCAACTCCTTCCGGCGCGTCAACGCATGCCAAAAGGAGACGCACCTACGTTTGCGGCGATGGCGGCCGTGACCGCCCGCTTACTCAGTGGGTGAGCAGTTCCCTTCGTTCACTTATGAGCCCGGAGCGGCAGCTGTGTCACGATTGAGGAAAGGTTCAAAACTCGTCCGTCATCTTCTTGCTTTGCACTTGTTTGATGATGCGCTTGTCTGTGCTTGCGTTGTCAATTGCTTGGTATTAATTGCCGCTTTCATTCATGTCGCCGCCACACTGTAGATTTCATTGGTTGCATGTTCACCATGTTGGCTGAGCTTCGCCGCTGTGGAATCTATGATGATGTTGCACAATGGCATTCCTTAGACACCTTTCTGCACTCGTTGACAATGTTCTCTACGTGCTGGCAATACTGCTTTCCTGGACTTCCACCACCGTCGATACCAATGGATGAATATGAGTCAGTTGTACAACTACGTATACCTTGGTTGGGCCTTATTCTGGAAGTACTAGTTGTGTGGTCCGGATTGAACTTCAGATTCCGATTCATGCCACAGTCTTACCACACTGTGGCCAACAGGTATGAACTTCACAGGTGCCGGTGCACGGCCTATTCATTGATCAGTTTCTTGCAGCGTCTCATTTCTCAAGATTATGGATATGTCCCGCCGTTCTTCGAGGTTCTTCACTTCTACAAGACGTCTCTGTTGTGTGAAATTATGCATTCCACCTTTGCAGACACAAGACATCTTCGCTCATTACGGACACGTTTCCCGGACCTCTATGACTTCATTCACGATCCAGGTCACCATCAACAACCATGCGTCTACATCCGACTTTCTCCATGGCACACTCCATACTACGTTGGTGCAACTGATCAGGATGTTCTACGTCGAGAACACTCACGCAGTCGCAAATTTCTACAACTACTTCGGGGACGTCATGCCTTCTTCGAACCTGCACTTCACTACTGGAAGCGCGCCAACACTTACTGGCTTTTCTGTGCCATTCCGGTTGAGATCAAACTTCCCATTTCCTCGGTTTGGGTCCAGGAAAGCAAGTGGCAATACTTGCTGCGTCCGCATTTGAATGCACCCTGGGTACATAGACTTCTTCGAAAGGTGGGCTTCCGGGAGCATCTAGTTGACTTTCGACGTCATTCGTTGTCATCTCCCACCTCACTCGGGCTACACAAACGTTTTCGACGACGACTACATCCAGATCTTCAACGGCAATTACGACCTGAAATGTTGGATGACATTCAAGCGCATTACTCCACTCTTTATCAGCTGGGATCCAACACAGGCGCGTCGTTCCAGGCCATGCGAGACTTACTGTCGGCGGCTTTTCCTCCCACTCAGCTCTACTACTTCCTGCGACTCTCCGTCTTCGTCAACGAGCCCTTTCGTTCAAAGGCACAGAAGCTCCTCGCCCAGGTGATGCGCAAACGACAGCTCCAATCACCAAGCACTTTGACACAACTACTTCTACCGCCTCTACATGTACGGAATTGGAAAGCTCAGCTTGGCACGTGGTTACAACGTTGGGTCGCTTCACATCCCCTCCCTATTTCTTCCAAAGATCCGGGCGGTGGAAACTCGCAGTGCCACTTTGGGAGACAGGATCTACAACTACCGCACATGGCAACGCAGATGGACTCCTGACATATCTTTTCCGTGTCGCTGTTCGGAAGTCTTTTCGCTGTGTCGGGAATCTGCAGCATCCTTTCGCTCCGAAGTGGTCACTACGATACCTTCCCTCCTACATCAGCGCTACGCGTGGGGACTTCGACTTCAAGCACCGTTGCCTACAGCTCGCATCCTTCCAAAGCCGACCAAGGACTGGCAGAAAGCAAGACCCATCATTTCTTTCTTTCGCACGTGGGCAGCACCCTTCCTCACGGTCTTCGGCGCCCTCATTTTTGAACTTACCAAAGTTACCTTTCCTGACATACCAGGTCAGCTTTCGGTCCAAGAACTTGTCCAACAGCTCTGGGACGCGCTGTCAAAGGCAGATCCCGCCGAACACATCCACCTGGTGTCTCAGGACCTGTCCGGTTTCTTCACGTCCATTCCCACGGAGCGTTTCCATCAGGCACTACAGGTGCTTCTTCATCGTTATGACCAAGTAGTTGGCCTCCGCCGATCCTCACAATGGTCGGTGTACGAATTGAAGTCAGATCATCGACGCCGTATGTTCAAAGGAAAATGGCGCCGCCAAACTAAGGTCCCTCGAACCTTTCGTGAACAAGACCTTCGTTACCTCCTTGACTTTGTCATTGACAACAGTCACTTCGAGATCAATGGCTACTTGTTCCGGCAAGAACGTGGAGTTGCTATGGGATCACCTGCAGCACCACCTCTCTGCAATCTGGTTGCCACGGTGGAGGACTTCTTCTGGCACCAAACAATGTGTTCTTTACGTTTTCGCATGCCCGATGTCGGGGTGATCTGGCACGAGCGTTATGTCGATAATCGTTTCATCCTGCTACGTGATTCTGCCCCACAATCACCGGTGCTCAGGAATTTTCTTTCCCTGGAATTTTATCGTCCACCTGTGATGCTTGAGTTTCAGCATGATGACAAAGTGCTGGGTTACCTATGTGATTCTTCGTCCAGGACTATTACACCACAACTACCTGATCATCCCTCTCAAATCAAAGGGATTCGGAGTGCCAATGATCAGATGTTTACTTACTCTTCTTGGTCTTCTCGCTCGTGGCTCATTATACGTGGCGCACAACCTGCGGTTCAGCAACAACATGGACTTAACGCTCTCAAACGCCTTTATGAGGCCAAAGGTTTCGATCCCCATCTCCTTCGTGATGTCCGGCGACGACTCGAGACAAAATCTGCACGCTGTCTTGTTGCTGTGTTACTTGTGGTGTACGCTTGTGATTGCTTGTCGGAGCGTCTTGTTGTGTCTGCATGCAGTCGGCTCGGAGGTGTTGA